CTACATCTCACTGACAATATTTACATTATTATATAGAAACAGACTTATATTCTCTATAATATCAAGACTCTGAAGAGAGAAAGTCTTGATAGAGAGTATATAGTAGTGTATATCTTAGCAGTTTCTATCTCATTCTTCTGCAGCAGTTAATGCAAAAAAAAAAGATCTTAGAAATAGTTTTTTACTTCTCTTGAAAATGTAAGGTGTTTTTCTCTGAATTTTATACAATATTCTTACAAAGAATTAAAAACAGAGTTATTTTTCATCATAATTTCATATTCTTTTAAGTAAGAATTACTTTTTCAGTGACTGAAGAGCTTTTATTAATACTTAATTCTTTTTTACACTCTTTATTAACTGATTTGAGTTGTACACTTGTTGTGTGAGAAGAATTGAATAATTTAGAATAAAATTGAATAGTTTTAATCAATTTCTCTGCAAAAAATTAATTTATTTTTTATCAGTTTTTCTCTTAAAAACTGTCATATTATCTGATTTATTATTAATTAATATCATACTTTTTCTCACTGTATCTCAAGAAAGAGATTGTAAAGATTTTATTGATTTATCTTAAAAATCAATTTTAGTTTATTAGATTCTCTTTAAAAATCTAACCTAGTTACTGAACTAGTGTGAAAAAAATCAGGTATTTTATATATAAAAGCCTGTTATTCTTCTTTTGAAATAGTCTGATCAACTTTTCAATTGAAAACAGACTTAGAAACCTCTTAATTGAAACAGTCTGATCAACTTTTCAATTCAAAAGAGTTTAAATATCTCAATTGAATTAATCTGATCAACTTTTCATTGAGTAAGAACAATGAGTTTGAAAGTACACTCAGTTGATGTGGAAAAGAATGCTTTCTCAGATGCTATTTCTGAGATTGAAATTCTGAAGAGAAGAAAGAAAGAAGAAATAGAGAAATAACAAGTTCTTGAAATACAGAAACTTGAAAAAGCAAGTAAAATTCTTGAAAAGCAGTATCTGAGTGAGATGAATGAAGAAGTTCTGTTAATTCTTCATGCTCAGACTAGACAACTACAGAAAGTGATCAAGTTCAAACTTGGAATTTCAAACACAGTTTAAAAAACTTTGAAAATTCCCAATACAATCACTGACTCTTCAGTTTGCTCTTTCTTCTTTTCTACTTCATCTTCTTCTTCTTCTTTAAATCAGAAGAAAATATATACTCAAGCAGCAGAATCTGCTATCTTCAAACCTGCTATCTCTAAATCTGCTATCTCAAAACCTGCTCAAAATTCTGAGAAAACTGAAAAGAATACTGCTCATACTTCTATTGATAGAAGAGTGAAGAAAAAAATGTAAAAAGAGAAAAATCTTCAAATCTCCAGAAATAGAAGACTTATTCTCAAAGTCTCAAATCAGAATATATTGCAGAGAAATAAGCTAAACTTAAACCTCATTTTCAGAATTAGAAATGAAATCAATCAGCAGTTCTTTTCTCAGTTAATGACTGATATTGAAGTTTAAAAATCAGTTATAGCTTCAATTGAGTCATTCTTCTTTGAAAACTCCATCATTCTAATCACAATGCCTGGATTTAGTGCAGAATTTCTTATTCAGAATAAGAATCTCTGAAAGTCAGCAGTAGAATCTCTGTTAAATACAATAATTCTATCTAAGAGAGATGAAAAGTGAGATAAATTCATTCTTCATGATATTCCAGTTGAAATCTTTAACTGTGAGAAAGAAATGCTACTTCTCAAAAATGAATTGAAAGAATACAATTCTATTCAACTGAGAAAAGAATCTGTGTGACTTACTTCAATTAAGTTCAGACAGAGTAGAAGAAATGCCTCTGTTCTAGTGTATACAAAGACACTTGAACAATCAAGAATCTCTGAAGTAAGAGTAGCAGGTTTGAAAATGAGAGTTCATGAATACAAAGACTTCAGAATGAATCTCAAAGCTCAAACACAGTGTTCAAACTGTCAAAGATATGAATACTTTGTAATCTCTTATTTCAGAGACTTAAAATGTGCATTCTGTGCTAGAGATCATAAAACTAGTAAGCATAATTATGAAACATGCTTAAAAAGAGATGAAATATGTCAATATACTCTGCTTAAGTGCTTCAATTGCAAAGAAAAACATGCATCTAGCTCAAAAGAATGTGTATTTACTTCAAGAACTCAGAAGAACTGGAGAAAAGATGAAGCTTAAAGTGAATCTAAAACTGAAGAGAAAAGTCAAGCTAGTAAATCTGCAACTGCAAGCTTTAAAAGAAGAAATTCTTAACTATCTAGATCTTCAAACTTCAACTCTTCAGCTAAGTGTAAACAAAATTTGAATTCTCAAACTTCTGTTAAGATTAGAGAATTGAGAAATGACTCTGATGATAAACTAGATATAATACAAGCAGTTGAGATTTCTACTTTTCAAAATAGTTATAATTTACTATCTGATGATAGAAATTAGATTCTAATCTATCTCTACTCTCTCTTAGTATGAATATACAACAAAAACAATAAAAAAAGTTTAAAAACTCTTCAAAAATTACATTTATTCAAAATAATGTGAATAGAAACTCAAATTGTATTTATTCTTATCTTCAGATTGCATTTGAATAAAAAGTTGACTTTGTACTTCTTCAAGAACTAAACTTTGATACTGAGCAAAAGTACATCATTTCTCATTCAAGCTATTACTGCTTTCTCTCTGAAACAATCTGAGATAAAATCAAGAGTAGTGATCTATGAGCGAAAAAGATCAACATATTAATCTAATTTGAGCTTTAATATCATATCTGCCTCTGATATTCTAGTAGGTGATATTATAGATAAAGAGAATGAGTTCGACACTATCCAACTTATAAATATCTATAATGAAAAGCCATTGAAAGAAACCAATAATACCTGAATAATTGATAGAGAATTTTTGAATATAACTCTCTTAAAAAACTCTATAATTGCAGGAGACTTCAATGCACATCATTCCTGATGAAACTCAGAGTGTATAAGAGCAGTAAGAGTAGATAAACTGATTGAATAGCCTTTTAAGTATTCAATAGATTTAGTTAACAAGTCTGATCAACAAACATTCTTTAGAAAAGACATGAAACAGAAATCTATTATAGATCTAACTTTCATATCACAAAATCTAATTGAAACAAGACTTATAAACTGGTTTATTGATTCACCCCCCCCCCTCAGAATCAGATCCATGAG